GACATCGCTGGCCAGATATCTCCAACTGCTGGGGGCGAGAAAGCAACGACTTCTGCTCGGCAGCGCGCAGCTCGACCGAGGATGGAAGACCAACAGGGTATGTCCGCGGACTAGCGGTGTCCACGCCACCTCTCGGGAGACGTGGCATCTTGAGCCAAAATGGCTACGGAGACACAGCAACATCCGTGTGCGACGCAGCGCCTGTGTACACCACAGTGTTTGCGTGCACCACTGCGCCGGTGTACACCACAGCGAATGCGTAATACCGCAGCACCCATGTGCAACACAGCGCCTGTGTACACCACAGTGCTTGCGTGCACCGCAGCGCCTGTGCACACCACAGCGCCTGTCTACACCACAGCATCCGCGTGCACGCAACGCTGGTGTACACCACAGCGCCTGCGTGCACAGGGCAGGTAGAACGAGCATGTAGGTGAGGTTCTGCTGCGGACAGCTGAAAGCCACGCCAGAGAAGTGCTGATAATAGTATGCGATGTTCTTCCCTCCTCCCTCCTCCGCCACCTCCACCTCCACATCCTCCTCCTCCTCCGCCTCCCTATGCGGGTTCCCTTCAGATTCCCAATGCGGACCAGGCTCCTATGCGGACTTGTATGCGGACGCATGTGGAGGTCTGGATGCGCACGGCGGCAGTGCCCAAAGCGCACTGTGGGTGGAGGGGCGTTAATTACGTTATAGGGGGGGTGGCCGGGGGCTATAATGCCCATTATGCTCCAAGCAATAAAGAAAGACGCTTTTATCCAACACGCCCCCCCCGAGGTGTGACGACAGAAGGAGGACGAAAAACGAGAAGGCCATGGCAATGGCAACGGCAGTGCAATGGTGCTGAGACAAATCAAGTCTTCCCAGGCGCTTCGCGGCAGAAGGCGCACGTGTAGCCCTCGTCCCCGCTGGATGAGCCACGTCCGATCGGCTGTGGCCTCCTTGTGGGCCCACCTGCGCTGCCAAGCCCATTGGACCACCGAGATGGACGTTACAAGCACAGGGACCTCCCCCCCACACTGGTGTTCGGTGGCAATTCGTGGGAGCCTCCCATACCATCTTGTCGGCTCTTGTGAATCGACGCTAGCCGACGCTAAATCGACGCTAATCGGCGCTGAATCGACGCTAATCGACGCTGGCCGACGCTAAATCGGCGCTATCTCATCGAGGCCCAGACGCTAATCGACGCTACAGACAAAATTGCGAGGGTACACAAGGCTCCCATGACTTGATACCGAACTGGTGGAAGCTGACGGGAAGGGGAGGGGCTGAGGGGCTCGACCGAGAATGCCCAATCGAGAACGGGCCCATCGACCTGCTGGGGCAGGGGGGTGTGGCCGGGTACACCGAGGCCGAGTGGGAGGGGGATGTAAGTGCAGCACTCTTCGGCTGTTCAGGGGGGGCCCGCGGACCCCGACCCCTGCCCCGCCCCCGACAAGAAACCAGACTGGAACCCCATCAGCTTGCCGTGCAGCCATTCGATCGCGCTCCCGCCTCAAACTCTGAAGCTAGGGAGCCCCTCTGGCGAGAGCGTGACCGGGTGGCGGCGGCGCCTGAGGCGAGGGCGCCGGGTCTCGAGACCCGCGCGCGACGCATCGAAGCAGCCCCCAGGAAGATGTTTGCCTGGACTTGGAGAAACCAAAAGGTACCGATACCACTGCTCCCCAGACTTCTACCTGGGTGCGTTATGGCCAAGAGTTCGAGGAGAATCCAGCGGTGGCGACGAAGGCCTCCCAGGAGGCCGAAAAAGGGGAAAGCGGGGGAAGAGTGGCAGTATGGGTAACTGATCCTCCTCCGAGGGCTGGCTCTCTGGCCCACCGAGGCCCCCGCAGGCGTTGCACAAGCAAAGAAACGACGGGCCGCCGCCGGCCCATCCCGTAAGGAGCACCGAGTAAGGAACGAAGGGGCTGTGCTGGCCAGGGCAAGCATCGGCCACGAACAGGTTCCCCGATCTAGATCTGAGGAACGGCCCGAAATCCATGGCCACTACTGAACCCAGAGTGATCATTGTTTCAACGTCTTGACTGTACATCTGCTTGGACGGACGGGAGAGTGCCCACGCGGGAGCCATGGGCTCACCAGGCCACGCCCCCGGCCCCAACCCGCCCCACCATCTTCGGGCCCTGGCTCGGGCTCAGAAGGAAGAGGCGCGCGCTCTATCAACGGGGGGTCATTATTCGATGTTGGGTCATGACTTGCGCACCACCCACCCATCCCAACTCGTTCCACCCTGCCATGGGGGCTCTGCCAGCGGGGGCCCGATCTGAAACCCAGCAGGGTCCTTCGAGGAGGAGGAGGAGAAGGAGGAGGAGTGACACTAACCAAAAGGAGGAGGAGGAGAAGGAGGAGGAGTGACGCTAACCAAAAGAGGGAGGATGAGGAGGAGGAGGAGGAGGAGAAGGAGGAGGAGGAGGAGGAATGACACTGGCCGAAAGGAAAAGCAAGGAGCGACGCGAGGGAAGGCAAGCGTCCGCCCACCCGCTCGAACGAATAATGCCCG